ACTCACACTGTTACTTCAAAAAGTAGGAGGAGAAAATATTTAGTATTGTGCTCTTACATGTTTGCACCACAGAAACGACATTCGTTAACATAGGTTTTGGTTATTGGATCCACAGATTCGAACACTTCTGCTGACACAAATTTTTGATAAGAATTTCCGACAAAAAGGCTATAAAATGAGGACATGGCAAAGAAACAATCAGGGAGTACACATCAAAAAATAATGTTCTTAATATGTCACTAGGAAATGAGACAAATAAAAAGACAAAGGATCTATTCGTTTTTAAAGGCTCATAACAAAACTAATCCTATGAACAGAAACATAATTTTAAAAATTAAACATTTTCTTAACCTTTTTAGCCCTCCCTATCAAGTGTTTGCCTCAAATTCCACTGTCTTTTTGTCTCAGAAGCAATCATTGCACTCAATTTTCTATGCATCATTCACTTGGATTTTCCTCATATTTTCACCACATATGCAGTTATTAATAAAATTGCATATTATTTAATTTAGGATGTTTTTGAGATTTAAACGCATATGCAGTATAACTTATTTAGGTTTTCTGAAAATATTTTAGCAAGTATAGACTACTTTAAATGAAAGCTTTTATAATTTTTATTAAGATCATACCATTTTCTAATAATGAACACATTAACTTAGTGAATGACTGTAAACTACTTTCAGCCAATCATGGATAACTAGTAAAAGAGACTTTGTCATATTTTGGAAACATTTTGGTACTTGGCTATTTTTTCACACCAAGATTTATTTAAGATTTTTGGATTTATGCTGCATTGTCTTTCATTGCTGAATTTGAGGAGTCAGTTGACAATCTAATTCTACTTTCTTTGTAGATAATTGCTCTTTCACTTATGGTACCATTAAGAACATGTTTTTAAACTCCTTGATTTGTGTAATAGTTTGTTACAATCTGTTTGGATGTGGGTTATTAAATAATCTTTTTCTAGTTAGAATGTATTGGTGCCCTTAAAGCTATTCATAATAGCCAAAAGTGGAAACAACCGAAATGTCTATCAACTGATGAATGAATACATAAATGTGGCACATCATCAATCAACGGGGTATTATTCATTGACCAAAAAACGCAATGCTGTGCCATCATACAACAGTATCATGTTTTCATGATAAAACTATATTAAGTGGAAGAAAAAAGTCAAAAACCAAATATTATAGAATTCCATTTATATTGAATGTCTAGAAAAGGTAAACTGACAGAGCCAGAAATTATAGTAGTGATTCCCTGAAGTGGGAGGTGCAGGAAATGCTGATGAATCGTAAATGGGCAAAGGGAATCTAATCATGGTGATAAAAATATTCTAAACTGAATTATGGCATTGATTTTACTACTGAGTAAGATAACTTCACAATGTGATTAATTGGGTGAATGGTACGGTATGTGTAGTATACTTCAATACATTTATTAATAAAAAAGCATGCCCTGATAGCAGAAACTAAAATGATATTTTAAAACAGGGACTTAACTTCCAAGTGGCAAAAGGTAATTGGACCATATAAATCTCTCCATAAATCCTCGAAAACCTATACTACTGAACAAGAAAACTAATAAAAGCACATAATGACTTGAACTCAGCACAACCAGAAGACAGAACAAAAGTCCTAAATTGCCATTACCCGTATGGACAAAAACAATCACCGAATTTTAGTGCGATTTCAGTAGAACTCCTGGTGGAAACAAGCTTCTTATAAAGAAGGAAGGTGGGGGAACAGGGGTGAGGAGGGTGCCGGAGACCTCAGAAGAATAAAAGAAAACCTAAAAACAATTACAAAAGAGGGAAGAGGGGAACTGAAAACTAAAGATTCAGCTGAAATCTCCCAGACAAAGAGCGTTATTCGTACCCAAAAATCATAAAAGAGTCGGGATACACAACACGTTTAGAGGGAAGGATATTAAAAGGAAGTGAGATTCATGGTGGAATTCTCACAAAGCCATATGTCCATGTGAGGAAAAAGTTTCAAAAAAAGAAAGTGGGGGGAGAAATGCATCTGCCAAGCACAGTAGGGTGAAAAAATTAAAAAGAAGCACGTGCAGGGCCTTCAGAATAATGTAATACAGAAGAGAACCAAACAATGTGAATGGTTCAAAGCCACGAAAATGAACACAGGCACAGTGACACAGATTCACTCACTCACTCACCTACCTCTCACTGCCTCACTGAAATAACTGCATTTTACTATACTTCCTCAAGAGGGCACTCTTTCATAAGGAGCCTTGCAAACCCTCCTACTTCAACAGTCCCCTACATATACAAAAAAAAGGGAAAAAATGTGATCTTCTTCAATTTAAGGCTTCTAGAAGAAAAAAACAAACAGGAAAAATAATCAAGATTCAAATAGCTGCAGTAAAACCCTCTAGCCTATAAAATAGAAAACTATGAAACACAATAAAAATTTAATGAAATGCTCAAAACAAAATTTTTATATAGCCTCCAGCAGACATTTGGGAATGTTAAAACAAAATCCTGAAATCTAAAGTTAACCTTTGGAACAGAAATTGATTGTTTCTAAAATGGATGAAAAACCATGAAAATACTTATAGATATATATGAAAGGGTCTACTTTGATAATATCCTTATTATGCCTTCTTCTATATATTTATTGGACATTCTAAAAATTGAAGTGCTACATATTAGACCACAAAAACATCACTAACCTTCATCAAAAGGAGTATAAATAACACTGTGATCACAATTGAATGAAATACAAAATAAATAATAAAAGCAAAAAGCAAAATGTCTATCACATCATTAAATAAACAAATACATGTTAAACAACACTTGAGAGAAAAGGACTACACAAATTAAAACTGGAGTATTCCTAAAATATGATTAAAATGATAAGAATGAATATCAGAATAAATTTGATCCACTTAAAAGCAGTGATCAAAGGAAAACTCAGAGCCCTAAATACTGATATAGACAAATATAGAACAAAATAGAAAATATGAATTAAATTTGAGTCAAAAAGTTAGAAATGAACACAATTAAAACAACAAAAGCACAAAGATGATAATTACAAATATAAAACCATCAATGAATAAGTAGACTTTATAAATAAGTGAAACCCAACATTTTTGAAAAAATAACATAAGATAAAATAATTATAAAAATAGGAAAAGCAAAACAAGGCAGTGTAAAATTAGAGAAAAGAGTTATTGAAGTTTAGTACAATTAAAAATATATATCATAGACTAATTTGTATCTCTCATTACAAATAAATGTGAATGTCTAGAATGAATGGATAGATTTTTACAAAAACAAAATTTGTGAAATTTCTTCCCATTAGATGAAGAAAACTTAAAAAGGCTAATTTCTATTAATAAAGTATAAACATTTATTAGAAGAAACACCAAACAAAAAATCAACAGTAACAAAAGATTTAAAAAGAATGCAACTCTCAAAATCAGACAGACCCCATGTCACAGAAAATACACCAGACTAGAAAAATGATGGAAAATTTCTATATTTTAATGAAGAAACTACAATATACATATCAAAACTGGACAAAAAGAATATATTATAATAAATTTTCAGTCTAAGGTCACCTATGCTATTAAATTAAATATTAGAGAATAGATTAAAACAAATTTGAAAAACGTTAGCAATGTCTGAGTTGGAGTTATTTCTGTTGTAGAAGGATGATTCAATATGAGAAAGGAATTCTTAAAGCTCACCATATTAATACTTCTCAGAAGAAATATCACATGATAATTTCCTCACAGTGAAATTAATAGAGAGATATGAGATTTATAGCAGACGAATTGTCCCAAGATTTATCAATGTGAAGCTTCCTGGTAAATATGTTCATATTAGAATTTATAACTGAAAATATAAAAAGTGAAAGAATTTACCCTATCAAATTCCATGAGAGAATATGACCTCCAATCAGAGAAAGGAGTAGTTGAAGTACTTTAGCTGTAAGGGGGGAAAAGGATGAATTTCCTTGCCCTAGAATTCAGAGGCATTCATATCCACTGCACTGCTTCTCTCCCTTTATAATATGGGAGGAGGAGGGGAATTCATCAATGTAACCATGAAAGGGCATTTGCCCTGTGTTCTATGTGACTTATGATTTCAAATATACTGAACCCAATAGAGCAAACAATTCTATATCCAGGTGACATCAAATCTTTCCTGTATATTCTAAGATGTGAGAAATATCCTACCCAGGATGAAAAAATGCACTCATTTAGAAAAAAGATAAAATGCCAACATATGGTGATAAAACTGACTTTGACCCAGTGAAAAGTGAGCCATTTGACTTCCTCAGTCATCCTCACAGAATGCAGTAGTGAAACTGTTAGAATATTTATGACACAGACCCCCATAAGACTTCAGTGAACAGAGTCATAAAGAGAGACCACTTGCTATATCCATCCTTCCACTTGAGAAAGAACAGTTGCAAGCCCTGAGTTTCCATTTTCCTTTACTCTTCAATAGAAAGGCTGTTTGCTTTCCTCCTCCACTCCCAAAATCAACATGAAGGAAGCATGGAAACCAATATATATGGGAAAATAATCAGGATAACAATTTTCTGCATAGCATTTAAGAATTCATGCATTATCCCCTGAAGGTTTGATTTATCCTTCATAGAAACTGAAATCGTTATTCCCAGAAGTAGACATGGAAAATTCCTGAGAGCAATTTTACACATAAAAGCCACCATAACGTATGCCCCAAATTTTCCACCTCATGAAGGAGGAGTGGTACAAAGCGTCACTGTGGCGGGGCTGTCTTTTTGATTCTTATCTCCTCAGCTACCTCCACTATTTTGAAGTCTCAGTTAAAGTTCTCTGTGTAAGGAAGATAAATGAGCCATGAGAGAAAAGGTACAGAGGGATCCTATGTCCTGGCGTGTGCTGAGAACTTGCCTCACTTAGATTTTATCAAAGCGGTGCCTACAGCAGAAAGGACAGGGACAGACAATTTCATCTGATAGGTACAAAGGAATGGGAAGAAGAGAATGTGGTAAGATTTTGTAGATCTTAAAATAGATAAAACTTGTGAAATCTTTCCAAGGAAGAGAAGGTTTAAAATCTCATCAGTTTTAAACCTAGATGGATATGGAAACAACATGGAGAACTTGTGAACATATCAGTGCTTAAGATCCTTTCCCAATATTGTGAATCAATTTTCCAAATTAGATTCAAGCCACTTGCATTTCATTAAGTGTCCAAGATGGTAGTCATGTGCAGATGGAGTGGGGGTGGCTAAGCTAGGGTCAGAGCATAATCTCTGGAGCCCGATTACATCAATAGCTAACCTTCTCTAAACTAGAGCTTTAATATTTAGCATAAAACTATTATACAAATATATGTATGGTGAGCATTATTCATGTAATATTTAAATTGCCCTTAATTCCATGTCATCATGTACAAGCCAACTTATTTTTTATGGAAAATTATATGATACATAGAGTGGTACATAAAAATTAACTTTAAAATATTAATAAGTAGGAACTTGGCCAACTTTTCCAAACCCACCTCAAAAAATGAATGTCAGCCAATAAAATGATTATAGCTTATTAAAGAGGTAGGAGTCTTGATCCAAACAGCTCTGCTTTAAGTCTTAGATGTGTGGTCTAATAAGTGAGTGTCTTGTAAAATTCCAAATATTCTCTGTGTATAAGCAATCTTATTTGTAAAAAGGAATAAACATAGCATACTTCTAGTAAGTACTGAATCATCTGTTATATGCAAAATGCTTAAAACAATGTCTAATATATGAATACACCATATAAGTATAAAGTAGTATCCTAGAAATGGATTAGAGCATGTTTACACAGTTAATGAAAACATTATATAAAAGAGATGTATCATTAATTGAAACATATCAGAAAATTAAACACATTAAAACTTTTTAAAAGAGCATTATCAAGTAGAATTTATTTGAGGAATACAAGTCTTTTTAAGTTTTTGAAAAGTAAGAAATGTGATTCCCTTTAGGATAATAAAAGAGAAAATCATATGAACCCATCAGTAGTCATGTATTAATGACTAAAGAATCTTGACAACTAGAAATAGCAATAGACTAAATCTGATAAAGAATATCATGAATAACCTATAGCTAATATCATCATCCAGCAAAAATTTTGATTGATTTTCACATAATGTGAGGAGATCTCAGACACTTAAATAAGAAAGAAAAATAATGATGGCCTTAGGGAGAGAGTGCTTGAGGTTGAAAAGGAAAAATAATATTGTCTGTATTATCAGATGGCTAGGCGAAAAATCTCCCAAGAAAGGTACATTTAAAAAGGCTATTACTAGAATACAAAGATACAAGGTCAATATATAAAAATTAATTGTATTTATGTATCCCAGCAAAAACTATTGGAAAATAAAATGTTATAAATGGACCCATACAAAACCAGACAAATATGAAGAGAGAAATAGGACACAGCTTCACCAGACCTCAAGCAAGTGGCTTCACTGCCCACACAAACACCAAAAACAAATATACAGCACTGAGATTATCACCAGCACTATCCCAGAACTCAAATAGGAGGATGACACAGTTTCAGGAACCACAGAGAAGTGAAAAAAGTTTCTAGAGACACTAAAAGAATCAGATTTTTATACCTACAACGTCCCTCCCCCAAAGTGCCCTGCACTAAGTGTGCAGAAAACTTTTTCCTGCCTCAAGGTTTCCACACTGAAAACATTAGAGCAACGTGGACTATTTAGTTTCCCCACCATCTTGAGTTCCCTGGCAGGAGATCTTTCCTCTTTCCACCAATAGGAAGCATCACAAGTGCCTAAAGGCAGAACAATTCCTGAGGACAGCCAGAGACAAAGGGGGAGGTGAGACTAACATCCCTGGCCCTGGAAAGTCTGCTCTGGAACTCAGCCAAAGGAGACAGGGGTTCAGAGTGGCTGGTCAGCAACCACACCACAGGATTGCGTTCCACAGCTCTCCAGGCCTGACCCCCAGCCAGCCTGCCCACACTGCTCAGGGATCCTCTTGGGACCTTCCCCTTCTGGGATGGGCAGTGAGTGCTTTGAACATTTGCTAGAGCAGAGGCAAATCTGGGCTTAAGGTAGTAGCTTAAACCTAATGAATATAAATGGGTTTCTTTGCAAATTTGGATATATACCCATTGTTCTTGAAGCACATTCGTTGAATAAAGTTGAGTTTTGTTTTTTTTTTTTTAAAGGTACCAACTTGTGCTGAGACAGAGACTAAAAATTAGCAAAAAAGATATTTAATAGATTAATTGCAAAGAAAACTTTAAGCAAACATAATCGAACAAAAAACAATACAAGCCAAAGAAGACTGAAATAAATAACTAAGCCTTCAATGCAAAGACATCGATGTATATCCATAAGAAACAACCAGCATACAGGGAACCAGAACCTTCCAACCAGACAAGCAAGGACCCAGGGACTGACCCAAACAGGACAGTGACAGGCAAGCTCTCTGACCCAGAATTCAAAATGCCAATTGTCAGGAAACTCAGCGAACTCCAAAATAACTGAATAGAGCTTTTCATACATTTATTTGGTAAATTTAATGTAGAAATTGCAATAATAAAAAAATAAAACAGAAATCCCAGTCTGAGAAATATATTTGCTGAAGTAAAATAATTATCCAAGGCTCTCAAGAACTGAATGGATCAAACAGAAGATAGAATCATTGAGTTTGACAGCACCCTATTTGAAAATACACAGCCAGAGGAGGGAAAAGAAAAAAAGAATGAAAAGATGTGAAGAATCCCTAGAAGGTATAGAAATTACCTCAAAGAGAAAAGGCAAGAATTTCTGATCTTGAAAAGGAAGTTGAACAAGAGCGAAGGGTAGAAAGCTTATTCAAAGACACAATAACAGAAAACTCTCCAACTTGAGGAAGATACAAAAATCCAGGTACAGGAAGGTCAGACATCATCAAAAGGTTAAACTGAAATAAAACTACCCCTTACAGGAAATACTGCAGCAATAAAAACTATTGATCAATATCTCTTATGAATATAGATAGAAAATCCTCAACAAAAATACTAGCAAACAGAAATCAGCAACATATTTTCAAAATGCACCATGACCAATTGGGATTTACCTCTGTGTTGCAAGATTACTTTATCATCTGAAAGAGTTGACGTTCATATATACCAATACAATAAAAAACAAACACATTATCGCCTCAATAGATGCAGAAAAAGCATTTGACAAAATCCATCACCCTTTCATGATAAAGACACTCAACATCCAAGAAATAGAAGAAACTTCCTTGACCTGATAAAGGGCTCTATAAAAAACCTACAGCAACCTTCATATTACTGGTGAAAGACTGCATGTTTTCCACAGAAGTTAAGAAACAAGACAATGATGTCTGCTTTTGTCACTTCTAGGAATCATTTTCCTGGCAGTTTTAACCAGGGAATTTTGGAAAGAAACAGAAATAAAAGGCATTTAAGTAGGAGACAAAGAAGTGGACCTATCTGTTTGTATATTACATGATTTAGCTTATGAAAAACTCTGAAGTATTTACTAAAAGCAACTATTATAACTAATGAATTAATTCATCAAAGTTGCAGAATATAGATCAATATACAAATATCAATTGTTTTTCTATATAGTTGTAATGAACAATGCAAAAAAAAAAGGAAATTAAGAAAACAATTCCATTTACAATAATGGCAAAATAATAAAACACTTTGCAATAAATTTAATGTGAAATACAAGTGAAAACTTATACAGAGTATATAGTATACTCTATATAGAACAACTATATAGAGTATACTGTATATAGTATAAAACTATTATTGAAAGAGATTAAAGGTGATGTAAATAAATAGAATAATATCTAATGTTCATTAAACAGAAGCCTTAACACAGTTAAGATGCAAAACTCTCTAAACTGTTCTAGAGATCCATCACAATCCCTATCAAAATCTTAGCTGATTTTCTGTACAAATTGACAAGGTAACACTAAAATTTATATGACATTACCAGGAACCCAGAATAGCTAAAACAAACCTGGAAAGTAAGAATGAAATAGAAAGACTCACACACTTTAATTTCAAAATTCACTACAAAGTAACAGTCATCAAACCAATGTGGAACCTGGGCAAGTTAGACCTATAGATCAACAGAACAGAATTAAGACTCTATCAATGAGCCCATACATCTATGGTCCATAGTTTGTGTTTCTTTACCTGTTTATGGTGGTAAGAAAACTTAACGTGCTATCTACCCACTTAACAAATTTTTATGGGTCCAAATACAATAGTACTAACTATAGTCACTTTGTGTACATTAGACCTCTCCACTTTAATCATCTTGCATAACTGGAACCTTATACCTTTTGATTAACTACTCCCCATTTTCTACTCTTCCCAGTCCCCAGCAACCACCATTTTACTCACTGCTCTCCTGTGTTTGGCTATTTTATATACAACATACCACTGTATCATGTTATTTCTTCTTCTGTGACTTGCTTATTTAACTTAGTGTAATTTCCTAAAGTTTTATCATCTCTGAAAAGATTCTCTTTATTAATAGAGCTAAATAATATTCTGTTGTATGTATGTACTACATTTTTAAATTCCATTTATCCATGAATAGTCATTTAGACGCCTCCACATCTTGGCTATTGTAGATCAGGCTGCAATGAATATGGGATTAGAGATATCATTTTAAGAAACTGATTTCAATTTTTTAAGATAAATACCAAAAAATAAAATTGCTTGAATACTTGGTAGTTCTATTTTAACTTACTGCGTACTTACTGCATTTCTCTGATGATTAGAGATGTTGAGCATTTTTTAATATGAAATGAAGTATCACTTATCTCCAATGAGAATGGCTTTTACCAAAAAGTTCCAAAACAATAAATGTTGGCATGGTTGTTAGAGATATACGTAACCTAAACATCTGTACCCCCATAATATGCTGAAATAAAAAAAAATAAACAAATGCTGGCAAAGATGTGGAGAGATAGGAACCTTCTTACACTGCTGGTGGGACTTCAAATTAGTACAACCTCTGTGGAAAGTAATATGAAGATCCTTCAAGGAGCTAAGAATAGAAATACCATTTGAACCAGCAACAGCACTACTAGCCATCTGCCCTAAGGAACCAAAGACATTCTATAATAAAGACATCTGCATTCAAATGTTTATGGTAGCACAATTCACTATTGCAAGGATGTGGAAACAACCAAGTGCCCTTTAATCCATGAGTGGATGAACAAAATATTATATATATATATATATACATATATATGTATATATATTATGGAATACTACTCAATTACAAAAAACAATGGTGATCTAGCACCTCTTATATTATCCTGGATAGAGCTTGAGCCCATCCTTCAAAGTGAGGTATCACAAGAATGGAAGAATAAGCACCGCATGTACTTGTCATCGCATTGGCACTGATCAACTGATTGATCAACTGATCAACATTAAGGTGCTCACATGGTAGTAATTTTCACTGGGATTTGAGGGGGTGGGGGTGGGTAAACTCACAACTAATGGATGTGGTCTGCATTACATTGGGGAAGGGCATGCTTCTAATCTTGGCTTGGGTGAGGCAAAGTCATAACTTGTAACCAAAATCTTTGTACCCTCATAATATCCTGAAATTAAAATAAACAAATTAATTAATAAATGTTTTTAAAAAGCTATTATATATATTAGAAAATTCTTCTCAATAGCTCCAACAACTATTATAGCTTCTATTTAAAGAGGGAAGCCAGCCATTAGGAAATGAACCAATAATAAGATCTTAGTGCATGCAAATTTACAGCATTTGGTGGTAGCTAGGAGGAAATCAAATTGTAGACAATAATTAATTTCTAAGTTATAGGATCATGAGAGCTTTATTCATATTTTATGTACATGTTCCAAATTTTCAACAGAAAAATATAAAAATTTCTTTTAATATAAACAAACCATAAATAGGCAGTAACCATTGTTAAGATCAGCATTCATAATATTACCAAGAGATAATGCGTTAGTCTTCTGTAATTCATGATTTTTACTGTCATTAAGAACACTGTGTACTTCAAATGATTTTCTTTCTCACAGTGAGGATTTCTCCATGAAGGAAGAAGTAATTTACATTCCAGAACAAGCTGTTTAATCTGGGGAACCACTTCAACATGTTTTCTTGTCATTCTAGGTTCAGTATATGACTATGCAAAACTTCAGTTTCACACCATATTGGCTGACAATGTAATATTTCAGAGTTTTATGTAGCTTAGAGTTGTGTTTGCTGCCAAATAGGAAAAAAAAAGTTCTTCCTTCATATTTACATCATCACATGTAAATTGCCCAATTAGTAGTCAAGTTACAGTGAATGATGCTTCGCCAGCTTGATTTATTCCATGAGTTAGTATTTCATACCACATGCCCCCACACTATGGTGTTAATGGCAAGTGATAGCTGAGCAGCCATCATTGCCAAAAATTCACCCAATATTTCCAACTAAGTATCTTTGATCCACGCTTTCGCTGATGTTTCAGCAACTGTGCATGTTTATTTTAGTCTAAGCCAGGGGTCCTCAAACTTTTTAAACAGGGAGCCAGTTCACTGTCCCTCAGACCATTGGAGAGTGCACACTGTGGGCCCAGGACGAGTTGGCTGCTAAGCAGGACAGGCAGCGGTGGCAAAAACACCCAGCGGGCCGGATAAATGTCCTAGGCGGGCGGCATGTGGCTCTCAGGCCATAATTTGAGGACAGCTGGTCTAAGCAACCTGAAGTGACATTTAGTAAGAAGCCCATAAAGCACTAATATGTTTAGCTATAACTTTAAGCCTCTGTTTTCATAAACCTTTTAAATTCAATGAAATAATTTACTGTTTTCATCATTTAAAGAATTATTTTGATTTGATCCTGTTTCTTTCTATCTTGTATGTAAAAAAAATACTACTTAAATCTTAATGTTTTCATTGCTTAATTAGCAAAAACATTCCCATAAGTGATGAAACACTATGGTGTTAGCTGTTCATAATGGTTACAGAATTAAATTCAATTTTATAAGGGAACATACTGTTGAGTAAAACAAGTAAAAACTCTATTCATCTTTATTTCTTCTGAACCAGTTCCACCATCATTTGTGTCACTACTTCTGCTACACTCAGAAAAGGTATGTCTATTTTGGACAAAAAATTTAAAAATCCAGCAAGACTTGTTTTGCCATATATAAATTATTGGTAAAGTAAATACAAATTTGAGTTTTCTAATTTATCTACTGAGATTAAATAAACTTAAAAAACAGCCTTGGTTAAAATTAAGATGATTATAAAATTCAAAAGCTATTAAATAAATGAATGATTACATTTTTCTCTGACTAAAATATATTTTAGGGACCGGCAGTGTTGAGGAGAGAGTAGGCAAGAGCCCTAACTTGTAGCGTTTCCCAATTTTTGTGGTGTAAATACTTTCAAGTGATCAAATTCAGGCTACCCTTAATAATCAGTTTGTAAAAATCCCAAAATATTTAATAATCAATTCTCAGGGGCTGAGGTAAGAAGCTGACTCTATTATACCACTTTAAGTAAAAAAAAGACCTTAAAAATATCACATATTTTATCTCATCAAAATTTAAAACTTTTGAATTCTTTCACTTTGTGAAATAACCTATTAAAAATGAAAAGACAAACTATAGGCTTCAAGAAAACATTTGTAATCCATATATCCACAAATAACTAATATCTAGGATATACAAACTCAATAGTAAACAAACAAACAACTCAACTGGAAAATGGTCCAAAGTTAAGAACACACATTTCATTGAAGAAAATATACAGATGGCAAAGAAGCATGTACTGAGAGAATTATAGAAAATTTTATTATGTTTGTTGTTGCAAAAAAATTGATAGGATCTTGACTTCTAATCTATTCTGAACTGTTTTTTTATTTGTTTTATATTTTACAGAATACTTTTTAAAATTTGAACATCTCGAACAGAAATATTTTTAAGACTGCATATTTATATTTATTCTTTTTTCTTCCTTATAGTCAATAATCCTTATATATCCAAATATGGGTCTTCCTTCCTGTTTCAACTTCTAGTATGGTTCTTCTATAATTACTTTTATTTTTATAGAAGGCAATAGTATCATGTGGTTTATATTCTAATTCAGAATTACTGTTTCTTATATGTTCTATTTCCTTACTTTGTTTTCCAGATTTGTAATCTATGTAATATAATACCATATAGCCATTTAAAGTCATTTCATACTTCTTAATTATTGTATATAGGAAATATAGTTAAGTTTAAAGTATATCTTTTTCAGATTGGGCAGAGGTAAAGCTGTAGATTATTATAGGTAATTTCTATTTTGGTTATTTTTTTTTTTTACATTTTTGTATTTACTATTTTTCATCATGCTTTTATTACCAAAAAATTAAAATAGCCTTAGATAGATACAGAAAAGTAAAAGGAGAGAGAATAAGTCAAGGTAAATAGCTTGGACGTGATCGTATGTTCCCAGACAAATGGATGAACACTGTCCCTTGAATATTGGGAGTGAAAAAGAATTAAAAAGAGGGACACTTGGGAGGCAGAACTGGCAGAAATCAATGCCTCAATATGGAAGGTTAGAAAGAGAAAGTATCCTTTTAATTTCCTAAAAAATATCTAATACAAACTTTGAAGTGTTTATCAATGTGCTCTGAATTAGTTTCTTTCTTTCTTTTTTTTTTTTTTTTGTATATTTTTAATTTCAGAATATTACAGGGGACAAATGTTCAGGTTACATACATTGCCTTTGTCCTGCCCGAGTCAGATCTACAAGCGTTTCCACCCCCCAGACAGTGTGCACTACACCCATTAGGTGTGAACATACCCATCCCTCCTCCCCACGCCCACCTGCCCGAACCCAATGAATGTTACATGATAGTTTCATTATATGAACACATTATAGTTTCAATGCCAAGTTTTATTTGCAAAGAGGGTCCTCTTGTCACTGAACAGAGTCTATGAGTTCTGAGGTAGTATTGTGGAGAGGCTAAACGTCTTGGCTTTCAAGTGAAGGAGATCAATGCAAGAAAAGAGACTGAAAGTGCAGGTCAGGAAAATGATAATTAACCGAGCAAGTAGCTGATGTAATAAGGCCAAGAGAATTGCTGCAGTGTATATCTAAAATCAAAGGAAGGAAAAGTATTCTAGAATGAAGAGAAATGTGACCAAGGCAGTGGAAACATAGGCTTTGATTCCTAGCTCTGTTCATTTTAGCCATGTCATCCTTTGACAAACACATTTACCTTTCTGAACCCCAGTTATTTTATCTTTAAGATGGGGTTCAATGTAGTATATCTCACATAGTGTTGTTGTGAGAAGTATAAAAGCTAACAAATATAAAGCATTTAACACAGTGTCTGTCAGATAAATTAATAGACAGAAGTAGACATGGTTGATAGATAAAATCTCCAGTGTTTTGAAATGAAAACTTTCGTGGTAGTTTATCATGGAGGGTTTCTTTGCTAAAGAAAAAGGTGATGTTATTCTGAGAATAATGAACATCTGAAAGGAATTGCATAGCTGACTATCATGGGGAAAAAAGGATTTTGTGAGATGTAGCTAACAAGAAGTTAAATACATGGAATCCTGTGTAGAATAAAAAATTCTCCTCTGATCCACTTTGGTTCTCTACTTTGTTTTGTAGCTGTTTCAATATTGATAGATGTATATCCTCTCTGCTGTCCTTATTACATCAACTTCTCCCCTTTCTAAATGCTATTCCTCTTCCTATTTGATTCCTAAACTTCCTAGCTGATTTTAAAAGTGCTGTGTCTGCCCCATGGCTCTTCTTGCTTTGGTGATTTCTCTCTCTTCAGTTATTCTACAATCGCCAGCTAACCTCATTGATCACATCTGCATCCCTCCCCCAACACACACATAGATTTTTTTCCTCGGCTACTCTTTACTCGCCAGTTGCTCACTGATTACAGCTGCTTCTATGTATGGAGCGACATCCACCTTCTGAACTTGTCATATCTCCTCCAACATTGTGTATCCACCTATGTGTTTTTCATCATTTCCATCCCGCTCATTTCTTCAGCCTTTTTAAAAATCTCTTTCCAAAATGTTCCTGCTGCTATAATTGCTTCCCTTGCCTATCCACCTGAATTATCCTTATGCTCCCACCAGTTCTCAGAACCTGTCCTCTAGTGCTTCTATCTTTATAAAAAATCAATTTCTTCAGTTGTTTATTAGCCTAGTTGCCTCCTTGTTCCTTTAATTATTCCAAACTTTTATTTGATTCTAAACTTCAGCCCTTCTTATACTTTTAAACTTGTTCCTAGTTTTTCCTGCTGACCCCCTTCACAATGCACATTTGCTAACCTCTTTCTTCTGAAAAGCTCACCTTACCATTGTTTGCATCTTGTTGGATTTGTTTTGCTTCTGGCAGATACCCACATGCTCATTTCCTAAACTGTACACATATCCCACATACCCTGTGAAAATCCCTGGAATTAGCTGAACTATAAAGGTTGAGGGCATAGTCCTCCATAAAACTGCCCTCAATTCTGACATCAACTACAAATTCAGAAGTTCCCATAACCACCCTAATGCTCAACAATTTACTAGAAGGACTCACATGACTCACTGAAAGCTATTATACTCATGGTTATAGTTTATTACAGGAAAAAGACACAGGTTAAAATCAGTCAAAGGAAGAGACATAGGGCAGGGGCAGGGAAAACCTTACTTTGTCCTCTCCCTGTGGAGTCAGGACATTATTACTTTCTGTGTAGCATCTCAATGCGTGACAGTACACGTGGAGTATTGCCAACCAGGGAAGTTTACTAAGCCTTAATGTCCAGAGTTTTTATGAGGGATTTATTGCATAAGCACAATTGATTGATTGCCCCATTGTCTAATTCAGTCTCCAGATCAACTGGACTCTCCACCCTAAAAGCCACAGTTGGCCTTTCTGGTTTGGCCAGCCCTACCCTACACTGGCAGGTGTGGCGAGCCGTACCTCAAGATCTGGTGTGGCCAGCCTGTGCTCTAAACAAAGACATTCTGATGACTCTGTGCCATGGTGTCTTCCTGTTTGCAATGAATCTCCCAGGAATCCTTTGAGATTCTTGTACCTGGATAGCTAGATTTTTAGCAGGGCCTGGGAAATATTCCTCTATTGCATCCTCAAATAGCTTATGCAAACCTTGTGTATTTTCTTCTTCACCATAAGGGATACCTATGATTGTCACATTAAACTTCTTCACATTATCCTACATTTCTTATAGGCTTTGCTCTTTTCTCTTATTTCTCTGCTCTATCTCTGTGACTTACTTATTTCATTGAAAGGTGTTATCTTCAATCCCTGAGATTCTTTCTTCTGTTTGATATACCCTGTTACTGACGATTTCCACTGTGTTTTGTAATTCCTTAAATAAATTCTACATTTCCAGTTTGGTTTGATTTTTCTTTAATATTTTAATTTCTTTAGGGAATTTTTCTTCAAAGTCCTATAATTTTTTTGTGGTTTCTTTGTGTTGGTTATCCATTTTTTCTTGCATATCATTGAGTTTTCTTACAATGTACAGAAATGAATAGCATTCCTACATGCCAACAACACTCAAACTGAGAAACAAATCACAGACTCAATACCCTTCATAATAGCAACAAAGAAAATTAACTATGAATATATTTAGCTAGGGAGGTAAAAGTCCTCTATAGGGAAAACTAGGAAACAATGAGGAAGGAAACAGCAGAGAACATAAACAGGTGGAAAACCATACCATGCTCATGGGTTGGCAGAATAACATTGTTAAATGTCTTATCTACCCAAAGTGATCTACAGATTCAATGAAATCCTTATTAAAATACCAAATCATCATTTTTCACAGATCTAGAAAAAAATAATTATATGCTTTGTATGGAACCAGAGAAGACCATAAATAGCAAAAGCATTCTTAAGCAAAAAGAACAAATTGGGAGGCATGAATTTACCAGATGTTAAGCTATACCACAAGGCTATAGTAATTAAAACTGCATGTTACTGGTATAAGAACAGAGACATAGACCAATGGAACAGAACTGAGAACCCATATATAAAACCATCCTCATACAGCCATCTAATCTTTGATAAAGCAGACAGAAAATACACTGGGAAAGAATACTTATGCAATAAA